GCTCCTGTGTAGCGTTAGAGAGACGGCTAGAGGTGCACGCGCTTGTACACCTATAGCTGTGTAGAGGTATACACGTGCGCTTATATGTGTATAGCTACATAGAGAGGTAGATGTACATACCTAGTATGTCTGCATGCTCGCAGTTGTGTGCGTATGGCTATATAGAGCGACAGATACGTATGTGCAACATGTGCACTTGTGTACATACAGCTTTGTAGAGATATACAGGTGTACACCTAGCACGTGTCTGCACACACGCATTTGTATGTGTGTAGCTATGTAGAGAAAAGAGATGTGTGTGTATGTAATGTATGTGCACTTGTATATGTATACTTACAAAGAGATATGTATATATAATATGTGCACGTATGCAGTTTTTTATGTATAGCTATGTAAAGATATAGGGGATAAATCTATATATGTATACATAATATACATGCATTGCTATACATATAGCAATAAAGTGAGATAGACATGCGTATGTAGTGTGCATGCGTGTGCACATGTGTATGAAGTATAGCTGTATAGACGTACGGAGATTTAGATGTATCTATATCTGCGCACCTGCACGTATTATTGGGGGTGTGGTCTCAGGAAATGGGAGAGATACGGCCTGGTCCGTATGTGTGTGTTTGAGCTGTGTGTGCACTATGTACGTGTATACGTGGACTTGGGGTGTCTCAGGAAAGAAGGGCGAAGTACAGACTGCTCTGTACGGGGATGTGTAGAAGCTGGAGGGGTTTCAGGAAACAGGGATATATAGGCTTGTGTATGTGACCATATGCATATGTGTGTGTATGGGGGTTCTTAGGAAAGGAGATATTTAGACTGGTTTATGTTTGTGTGTATTAGATGGACTGGGAATCTTGGAAAAAAGACTATGCAGACTGGTTTGTGTGTGTATGAACTGGGGGGGTAGGGAAAGGGGGGACTTGGTGGCTGCTTATAAGTACTTAAGGGGTGTACATCAGGATCTGGGAGAATGTCTGTTCACCAGAGCGCCCC